TTTTTTCAAGGGGATTTGGATATCTTACAAATACCTTACTATTTATTTGGAGCTTTAGATGAACTAGTTTGCCTGTCCTGTTTGCAGTCCTCCTCCCCCAACCTTTCCCAAAAAAAGGTGAGCCAGGATCATTCCACTTGTTCAGAAAGAGAAAGTTCCAAACTTCTGATTTCTTCCTGAAAGCTACTTAATATCTCCTGTTCCAAAACCAACTATGATTAATTTTTAACGAGAAGAACTTGCTGTCCTGTCACATGATTACTTGCTTGATCTGATAATAATTATATGTATGACCCTGCTTAATTATACTCCATGTAAAAAACCCATGATTTTTATAGTACTATTTATACAGGAAATTCTAGGAGCAAATTGGAATGTCCAGTCTGCAGGTGCTGGGATCTGCCAATGGAAATACATGCAAAAGAATGGAGAATTTCCAGCTCCTGCTTGAGTTGGAGCAACAGTTTTGATCCATTCACCAGAAGCAAACTACCATTGGAGCAAAACAAAAACAAAAAGTGGCTTACCACACAAAAACAGTAGTTGTATGATTTGGCCCTCAGCCTTCTGAAGTGTACCCAATGCTAAGTCAGTGGGTGGATAGACATAAGCCTTCTTTACCATCCAGTGTCAACAGACCAACTGCATTTCTTACAGGGGAACAAAGTAAAGAAAAACTCCTCCAGTCACTGTGACACAAATTGTTCTCATACTTTAAAACTGCATATGTTGTTTAGCAGATGTAGTTTTGTGTAGTTTCTTTACAGCAGAAGTCTCATGTAGTTTTCTTTTTTATATAACACCCACACTGAACTGGCTCATTGACATGACACCCCCTCATGGATTAATTAATGCTTGAATTGCTGTGGCATGTACAGTCTGCCCAATATACAGGCAGTCCCTGGGTTGTGAACAAGTTCCATTCCTGAAAAAAATGGTAAAATGTCTTTAAGTTGAATTTGTATGTAAGTTGGATCACATATAGTTGGCCCTCCACATTTGTGGAGGTTAGGGGCTCAGAACCCCATGAAAGTGGAAAAACTGTGACTATCTCTATGCCCCACTCCCTGTCCAAACTCACTGCCTTCCTTTGTAGCAAGGAAATGCCACAGATATTTCCCTCTGCTTTGGAGGCCTCCCCCTCTACCATTTTGCTTCCCCGCTCTGCTTTGGAGGCCCTCCTTCTCTCTCCTTCCACTTGCTCTGTCTCTCTATGACAATTACTTGCTGTATTTTTAAAAAATTAGTAGGCTGTATGTACAGGTTGTTTGTAACTTGGATATTCATAACACAGAACTGCTTGTACAGTTCCCAACAAGGGAGTGCCATAGCTTGTCAGTCTTGTGCACCCAGGCCTACTTAAATAACTCCTAGGTAACCATGTAACAGACCATGGGATATGTGAGGATTGTTTAACACTCAAATAGCCTTTCCAGCTAGGTTTGCACAACATAACAAAGCACAGTGCCAGCCTGTGCATTGCGGTTTGTGTATTCATAATGGTGGCCAGCATATGCCATAGCTCCTCTAGATCAAATTAACCCTCAGTGGGCTGTCGTAAGAATATAAGAACTTAAAAAAGCCATTCTGGATCAGACCAAAGGACCATACATGGTGGCAAACCGTCTGCCCATAGGTTCCCTCAAGCAGTCTGGGTGCAAGACCTCCCCCTACTCAAGTTCCTCAGCAACTGGTATATGCAGACATGGCACCTCTGGTAAAGGAGGTAGCACATTAGCCAGCAAGGCCAGTAGCCACCCATAGCCTTCTCTCACATGAATCTGTCCAGTCCCTTTTTAATGCCATCCAAATTGGCAGCCATCATCCCTTCACTTGACAGCGAATTCCATAGTTAACTGTACTCTGTGTGAACTACTTCCTTTGGTCTGTCTTAAACCTCCCACCAGTCAACTTCATGGAATGACCCTTCATTTGAGGGTCATGGGAGAGAATTGCCTCCCTCTTTACTTTCTCCACACCATGCATTATTTTAAACACATCTATCCTGTCTCCCCTTACTTACCTTTTTTCTAAGCTGATCAATCCCAGTTGTCATTGGGGAGCTGCTGCACCTCCCTGACATTTTTGTTGCCCTTGTAATGTCATGTGAACTGGCTCACTTTCATGAAACCAGAAAAATATTTCTCCTGTCCCTATCTATATGTGGGAAATCAGTGACCCCACTCAGATGTGAATGCTAGGAAACATTTTCATAATTTCAAAGGCAGGTGCTGCAGACAAGCAGCCACTCATTGACTATGTAACTATTGCAGTATGCTCCTTGTAATAGATTGTCACCACAGACTGTGCCTTCTAGGAAAAAAAGAGGAAAAACTTTGCCCTGAGCAGGTAGTTCTTTCACTTGAAAAATCTGGATTTTGAATAAATGACATTTGGGACCCACAACAAATACTGTGTATCTCCAACTTAAGAGTTCATTGCAGATGATGATTTCCAACCATGTGCTGTAGAGTGCTAAAGGGCCAAAGCTCACCAGCTGCCAGCCCAGAACAAATGTTCATTTGTGTTATGAATACTCTCCTTTCCTTGTTTGGATAATATCAAAATATCTCTTGATATTTCCCTCTCTTTCTCTTAGTATGTAATGCTGCCACCAGGAATTTAATCCCAATCCTATTAATTAACCTCTCCTTCAGTATTGTGCCCAAGCTATAAGCCTCCTTCATTGGACTGTGTGGTCCTGAGGTTGCAACTCTTGTTCAAACAACCTAATGACCCTGGGTAACAATAAACAAAATAAAACTTTATTTCTACAGCAACCGTATTGGTTTCAAAATTGTCAGTGACTTATTTCCCTAGTGAATAAAACTGTGTATATTAATAACATCTGACTGAAGTTATCTCTTCCCCTTCACAATTCATCCTCACTCTCAGATGCTCCTTTCTGTTCTGAAGGATCCTTGACCAGTCTTTATTCTGTTTATCTCAGTTCATTCTTTCCTTTCTGTACTCAGATTTCTGTCAACTTCTATCTCACCTTATAATACTTGATAATATTAAATTCTGATGCTCGCTAGTCACTAATATGTCCTCCAAGTATTCTACTTTCTCCTCTTTCCGTATGAATCCTAAATGCCTTCCACAGCACTATATAGGATTCTAAAGAGAAGGCTGCCTCTGCAGATTCTGGAAACCACTGACTGTAACTGCTGACAGATTGATACCTTCTCTCTCTCCTCACACGCTTTCAACCTCTGCCCATACATGCTCAGCCACTAACCAGTCACCTCTCTCACTCTTCCCCTCCTCTTACCCTTCTGAAATTTACAAACATTTAAAGGAACTCACAACACTTCAAATTGTTACATTTTGTCTGTAGGGAAGGATTTGGGAAAGCTGGGAAGTGATCCACAAATCAACAGGTAGAACTTCAATGGGTTAAATCATGTAATCATTAATGCATAACCAGGCCTGAGTAAAACCCATTTTTCTAGAAATCACCATGATTGCATCTTTAAAATGTGCGTGACACTGATCAGGCATATTCCAGAGAAAGCTGGTTTGCACTTGACAGATAACAGCAGTGCAAACAAAGGGCAATTCACAGCAGCCCACCCCATCATTCCCCCTCCTTCAGAGCATCTTCTTTGGTATGCAAGTGGAAAAGATAATGTCATTGTAGCTTCTTACTTCTGTAATCTATTGGAAAGTGATAACTGTGTTACATGTAATGATTTAATGATCTATATATAAAAGGGACAACTGAGGACTGCTCAGGTGCACCATCTGAAATGATTGGTTAGTAGCCAGTTATTCTCAAGAATAAACCCTTTAAAAGAAAACCTTCCCATGTTGTATATTTTGGACATATGCACACCTTTTGGTCTACAGAAGGATTTGGGAAATTCTACCTCATGACATCTCCCTTACAGCTCAGAAATGTTGTTCTTTAAACTTTCCCTATTCCTAACCCAGGGTATTACAAACCTAACATCTACCACATTTCATGTTTGAATGTGTTAACTGTTACATAGTTCCTGGAAGGCACTGAGGAGATGTCTTTGTAAGACTTTTTTGTTTAAATTTTCACTAGATATGCAGAAAAAAACTAGTTCACTTTGTGACAGGCCCATCTGCTTCAGAAGGAATAAGTACAGGATCACTTGTTTTGAGATTATATCAATTTCCAAAGGGCCGCTAATGGTTTCTGTTAGTGAACTATAACCTTCTGTGTAATATATTTTGACCTTGATATACAAGTGTATGACTGGAAGAAAAGGTAATAAATATATCAACCGGCCAAAGTAAAAGCACTGGGAGAATGCTTCATTATCCTTTGAAAGTATAACAGTTATATAGTTTCAGGTTAGAGATTAACTAGCCCTTCAGTTTCACAAAAGAATGGATGGAATCTTGCCTGGGTCAGTTTTTCCACTCCAGGAGCTTAAAACCTTTTAAAGTAACAGTTCATATTTAGATTTTGATTTTCCGTTTGAAAAGCAGTATTACTTAGACTAGCAGAGTAACTGTAGTAAATAATGTTATTTGGCAGTCTGTGAGTTTGAATACTACTAAATTGTTGAAACATGCACAAGGCTGGGTTATTTAATGGCTGGTAACATGAACAAAGGTGATGGGGAGGAGTAGCCTGTTGGAACTTTAATTGTGCTAAGAAATAGGGATTACTTTGAAAGGACTGGAAAAACTTGGTTACTCTGTTGCATTGTGATGCTGTGTAGAAAATGTTCAGATGATACACTTAATATGACTTTTTCATATTAGTGAACATTAAAAACTTATGGAATACAAGGATGTGCAATGTAAAAGACATACTTTAGATTCCCTGTGTTAAGAAGTTCATTCCTTAGTTTCATAGGGGAAAAAAAACCCTTTTATTTTCAGTTCTGCCCAGCAAATACTGAACCTGAAATATTGTGTAAATAGAACCTAATATATTTTAGCCTGCAGAGTTTTGACCATCTATTTTGGAAGTCATTTAACAAGCAGTGTGATGCTTTTTTGTCATCTTCTTTTCTCAGGTTACTCCTTGGAAGCCAGCAACTGAAGGAAAACATCATTTTTATGATGCCAGGGCCAATAGTTTGAAAAGAAAACGAACTGCTTTGGTACCAACTTGAACTTCATTTAGAGATATAAATTTAAAGGACAGATCTTATCTATACACCGTGGGACCCGTGCATGGTGACTAAGTGCTGAGAAGATAGCATCTTACCAATTTGGAGCTTGTGTCTTGCTCCTAACATTGGCATTTGCACTTTGAACTGTACAAACATGAGTGAGTTCTGGTTGTGTTTCAACTGCTGTATTGCAGAACAGCCGCAGCCTGTAAGTATAAATCTTAGTTTAGTTTCAGAGTCTAATTTTATTTGTTAAAATTAACACTGTTGTTTTTCATTAGCATTTTAATACATAGCTTATAAGGTTGTGCCTAATGGGTCACAGAAACAACTTTTGAGCAGTATGCCTTTGAAACTGGTTAGTCCCAAGTCCTGCTACCGCTGTGAAAGAGGTATCCTTTAATGATTTCTGTTGGACTTAAGGCAGTCTTCTAATGTTTTATTGTAAGCTGCCCAGAGAACCCTTTGGGCTATGGGATACCATATCAATTTGATTGATTGATTGATTGATTGATTGAGGCTGGTAAAGAATGGCCTAGGGACTCCTTTGCAAACTTTTTGTAGGGACAAGAATTGAATGAACAGGACTTCCTGTTTCCTTGTGCAATTTGGTTATTTGCCAGTGTATCACACCAGCTCTTGTTTAAATCGCTCCATTGAAATGCACATAGGACATGCATATATCTATAGGATAGCCTTCCTCAGACTTCCTGATATGTTGGAATACAACTTTCATCATCCAAAGACAATGGCCATGTTGCCTAGGTGTAATGGAATTGTAGTCTAACAGAGCTGGAAGGCACTAGCTTGGAGAAGGCTGTCCAGTGGTGTACTTGATGCTGGCCATTAAAATAATTGGTTTCGATTTAGACAGAATTTAACACACTAATGCTAATATTGCACACATTTGGTTTATACATTCTCATTGCTTTTGCTAACAATCTCATCTGCAGTTGATGAAATTGCATTAAGATCACACTGACTGAAGTTTTCCTATGTGTCTGGGGAAAATATGAATTTTGGGGGCTACTGTTTTTCTGCCTGAGGCAAAAGAACAAAGTCTTCCCCTACTTCCCAAATTAAGGTACCTAATATCTGACACATCTGAATTATTTTGGCACCAGGCCAGAAAAAGCAGTATGACTGTGTGTGTGTGTGTGTGTGTGTGTGTGAGAGAGAGAGAGAGAGAGAGAGAGAGAGAGAGAGAGAGAGAGAGAGAAGTGGGGAGGGAGAGGGAGAGGGAGAGATCTACAGATTGTTCCAGGAAGTATCTGACTTTCTTGTGCTGACAGTAGGCTAGTGGGTGGAGAAAGCACCTGACAGCAATGGAAGGCAGGTTGGAAAGATGGTATAAGCAGAGGCATTAGGGAAGAATAAAAATGCCCAGTAGTTTCCAGCAAACAGAATGGTAGGGAGCTTTTGCAGGCAAGGAGGAAAGCTCACCTCCATTGCTCCCCCATTCGGCATTGCTCTGTGTGATTCCTGGGAGGGCCAGGCCTGAGATTTCTTAATGAGAATTGAACTGCTGTGCAAAATAAATAAGTGCATAAATACATTGTGGAATATTTTAATGTCTATTCTAGTCATCTGTAGTACGACTCACTATTTTTTAAGATACCAGACTTGGGACATGCAGACTTCCTAAAGCAAATCAGGGCTGAAAAAGAGAAAATTAGTATAATTCTTCTTAAATCTTACTTTAGATGCAAGCTATACTTTATGCACTTAAAATTTTGTAAATACATACCACTGAATGTTCTCTTTTGTTAGTGGTATGCTGCATTAAACCTAAGATGTTAAAATAATGCTAATGTTAAAAAATACATTTGAAGTGGAATCCTATGGGGAGCAAGCTAATTCCACTTGACAATTAGGTTAACTTGTTCAGTTGGACCCTATACCTGGTATTGTGGTTAAAATGTGCATTAGGAATTCTTGTTGGTGGTTGTTAGCACTAACTTTTTAAAAAATGTTTTCCTTCTTGGGGAATTTATTATAGTTGAAAGCTATAAAATCGAATAAATAATACTGGTAATTTCTCAACTAGATGTCATCTTTATGTGGTTTATAAAACCTTTTGCAAGTAACCTTGAGACATATGGTATTTTAAGTTGGCTTACAATTCACTTTGCCTCATTTTAAAACCTAAACACTTTGTCACTGAAAACATGCACTATGATCTTGTGACTGTATGGTCACTGTTATTTCAATATGCAGAATACTCTCAAATGTGATTGCTTCACTACTCATTTAATTAGATAGGACAGCATTTTGACAATTCTGGTATTTTTACAAACTCAGAAACGCTTTTCCATCATTCACAAAGTTCAGAAAGCTTATAATGCCTAAGTATTGTGGAGAAATACTGCATTGTGCCATGGTTCAGCACCTAAGCGCAGCTAGATATGCAGGTGTAAGCCATGCTAATTAGATTCAAGCTTCATTAATTTCAATATTGGATACAACTTGTGATGTTAATCACATGTTTACAATTAATGTACCTCTTAATCACCATCCCTCCAAAATGTTAGTGGGGGCAGGACTGGGAGCATGATGTGTGGAGGAAGTTCCATCAAAAAACACATGTGCAATGAAATTATTTTCACTCTGAGAATAAAGTTTCAGTGGTCCCTTTCCGGTTTTTCCCTATCCCCATAGCTGCTAATTAAAATGTTAAAACTAGGTATGTTAACTACAATCACATAATACTCATGCCTCATCACATCTCCTGTGGTCCTTGATTATCTGAAAATAAGTGTGTTTGTGTGGTGTGCTCTCTGTTTGAAAGGTCACATGCTTTTTTGACCCCTCTGAGAAAGCTTTAGTCGGTGGAACCACTATCTCTGGTAATTCAAACTTGAGTATTTTGTGAGATCTGAGAGTACCAAAAGGCCATGTTTGTACATGTATTCTCATCTTGTTTGAATTGTGAACTAATTCAATGAGCTGTCAATATACACATGGCTTAAGTAATATTGGTAGGTTGCCAACTGATCAAATGTGTTTTGATTGGTCAGCTCTTTGTACTCTAGTGACTAATTAATGGATGACCACTGCTCTGTTTATGAATACAAATTATGTTATTAAGTTAAATATTTTAAAGTGTCTGCAGAATTATCTTAAATTCATTGATGCCATCAACAAAATTGGTGTTTTACAGTTCTCAAATGCTTCCTCACACTGAAATGATCTACTTGAATAAGGAAGAAGGTTTCCAGGGTTTGGTTGTTTTTTTCAAGGGAGATATTTAACTAGCACCTAATTAGATTTTGATATTTTCACTTTAGTGAATTGTAGAATGCCAGGTCACATGCAGCTTCTCATCCTATTGTATCCCATCCCAAAATAAGCAGTGTTATGCCATAAGAGACATGTTTGTTTAAAACGTTTCTCTTTGGCATTACAAATGTTGCTGCTTATGCCAATATTGAACACACACTCTCTGGGACCTTAAAGGATTGCACAGGACAGAGCAAGAAGTGAAACAGCAGCAGAACAGCTGAGACTACCTGAGTAATTGTGACATGCAAACAAGAAGGGATTTGGATGAGCGTAGTGGGGTTTGAGGAATGAGTTCTGCCACCCTTCAAATTGAAGTTCATAGGAACATGAGTGCTGAAAAGTAGCCACTGAGCAAAAATACAGCAGGATGCCTGTATCTGCTGGTTCAGTTACCACATTTTCACTTAACCATGGTTGACTTTGGTCCAAAAGAGAATCAGACAGTGCCAAAGGGAAGTCATAAAGTGGTTCCTTTAAGTGAAAATCCTTATTTTACCAGAGAGAGAAATTTTTTTGCTGAGGTTGCTAGGATGAATTGTAAGAATGAATCTTCTGTCTGTGAAACTGTGAAAAAAGAAGTGTATATGTACAGTACATAGTGTTCACTGCTATCCACGGTTTCATGCATTTGCTGGGTAGCTTGGAACCTATCCCCATAGATGTGGACGACCTTCTGTATTGCTCATATTGACAATATGAGCATTACAGAAGACTAGGTATCACAAAGTTGATTATGTCAGCTTTCAGTCTGCCTTATAGTTTGAATATGAAACATTATTTATTTTAAAATTGGAATTCATCTTAAAATGTGTATATTCTGTCCTGTTTTGAAAAATCATGGCAGCATCCAGCTACTTATGTCATGGTTGACTGTGTGTGGAACACCTACACCCACACTAAGCTCTTCCATAAGGATCCTTCCCATAACATTCTTCTTGCCCCCTGAAAAATATTTCTTGAAACTGAAGAGGTGGCTAGAATTCTGATACATCCAGGAGGAGGAAATGTTTGGAATAGGTTATGTTACTAGTCCTTGTAATGGAGTTTTGAAGACTTTGTTCTGAGCACACAGAAATGTAGGACGCTGCCTTATACCAGGTCAAATACTTCGTCATTGTGATGTACTGCCAACTCCAACTGGTAAACCGGTAGCAGCTCTACATAGTCTCAGGCAGGGTTTCTATTTGGCAGACCTATTCTGTGCTGCTTCTTTTGAGATAAGAATGCTTCTTTTTCTGGTTAGTTTTATGTGACCTTTGTTTTAAACTATTTGAAATAAATAGTAAGGTACATAGTATGATCATTATCATAAGTATGCAGAGTGGGTGGTATCATTAAAGTCACTGGGAGTGGATAGTGTTTGAGTTTGCAATGGGTGGAATATGATCACCATACTCTTGAGTTCGCTTGCTTGATCAGAGTGTTCATTCATTTGGAAGATAATAAGAGTATAAAACAAGGGAACAATAGAGAATCTTATATTACTTCTAAATAGTGCATGCATTTAAAAAGTGCTGCTTTTCTCAGAGAAATACACGGAAGTCACAAGGTAGGGCTATTTCAATAGTTGCAAGTCATATTCAGTCTGTGTGTATCTATCGAAGTACAAAATGTTAAGTGCAAAACATCAGACATTAAGGTTTCTTCTATATGTGAACAGTATGGAATAACACTAGGCAATATTCTGGATGAGTTTTCAAGTGCAAATAGGATTACTGTTCATAGATACATTGCTGTGAATGGATACAATGGAAACTTTTTTTAAAATTCAGCTTATTTGGTGGGTGCTGCCGTTACATTCCTTTCTGGAACTCTCTAAACAGTTGTGTGTAGCAGTGGTGCCAGCAGCACTTGGAAACCTTGAAACAGACGCAGCATAAAAGCCTGTGTTAGAAAGGACTCTGCCAGTCAAAAATTCTTCCTATT